GCTTAGAATAGGGCCTGGTCCCTGGAGGCCCCCCAAACTGTTTGTTGAATGAATCAGATTATTTAAGAGGTGAAAATAGAGTTCTTAGTTTTTCAAGGGAACACCGGGAGTTCAGCTAACTGCATCCTTAGGAAATGAAAGGCTCTGAAATAAACAGCCCACATCGCACGGGAAAGCCATTCTGCCTTGAATGACATGGTCATTGCCACCTGAGAGCTGCAGAATCATCTCCACACCGACTTTCCCTCTCTGGCTTCCTGCAGCTGTAAAGCCTTGGCCCTCAATGCACACCTCATTCTGGGTTTCCCAAAGGGCCTGTGCCCCCCGGGGACTGGGTAAGTGGGAGAACATTCCTGTCATTTCCTTTGAACTGCTTTCTAACCAGACTTCCTTTAGGAAGTTTTCTTTTAAAATTGAAAAACAAATTTTAAATCACTCTAATTTAAAGAAACAAACTACTTATTTTAAAAAATGAGCTGCTTCCGCTATTTGTGATTTCTTTCAATAATCAGCTATTAAGAGGAAATAAATACAGGTGTGTCCAGTTTAAAAACCATGCTTGTATAGAAATCTGAACTTATAAAACAGGATATATTGGGGTGATTAATCAAAATACAAAAGAGTCTTCAAATTCCAAAGAAGAGACTCTTTGTTTTATAAAAGAACTCACACCATGGTGTCCCCAGCTCTATTCAAGAATTCCTGAATAGATCATTAACTTAGGAACCTGGGAACACAGAAAGTTAAAATCGATTAACATTCAACAGAAGATTAATCAGAAAGGAGGATGAAACATTACTAAAATTTTAAAATAAGCTAATGAGAAAACATTCGAGTTACAACAGGTCAACTTATACTGGTTTAGAGACTAATTAATTTATACAAATTGCATAATTTTATATTATGTAATATAAAATTTATATATTTGTAATAATATTAAATTTATAATTTTATATTACTAGAGTTAGAATAATGATTTGAGTCAGCATTTATAGTATTCTTATGTAGCTCCCTGATACTTTTGAAGTTCTTGAAAAACTTTTTCC